ATATATATATATATAACTCAATCACTTTGCTCAATCACCTAAAACTAACATAATACTGTAAATCAACTATACTTCAATTTTTTTAAAAAAGGCCTACCAATCCAGAATAATGTGTGGATCACCTTTGGATTCTGATTTAAACAAACCAACTGGAAAACAAACAAAAAATTATGAGATAATCTGGGAAATTTGAACAGTGACTAGACATTTCACAACAGTAAGGAGATACTGAAGAATTTTTTAGCTGTGATAATGGTATGTGATTACTTTTTTAAGTCCTTATCATTTAAAACTACATTCCTACATATTTACAGATGAAATCACATGACTACCTTATATAATTTTCTGGAATTTGCTTCAAAATGGTCCCCTGGCTAAGGGGAGAGGGCAGCAGGGATAGAAGTGAGATATGCTGGCATCTGAGCTGGGCACTGCGGAAGTTGAGTGATGGGGGCGTGGGGTGCGTTGCATGATTTGTTCCACTTGTACATGTTTGAAATTAAACATAATAATTTTAAAAAATTTTTCAGATAGCCAACTTTATTCAACTAATTATTAAAATTTAGTTTGGTTTTTCTGTTTTTTCTTCATTCAATATTCATGACACTGGGCACTGTTGGAGATATGGTGCTTTGTCCTCATGGACATTACGTTCTAAGTGGAGGATAGAGATTTCTGAATAATAAAACACATATACCATATATCAGTAAGTTCTATGCAGAAAATAAAGCAGAATATCAGGACAGAGAATGACTGGAGTGGGGCAAGGGTTCGCTAACTCAGGTAGAGTGGTTACGGAGGTCTCTGAGGAAGTAGCTTCTGAGCAAGGAATGGATGAAGAGAAGGAACCACCAACTAAAGATCTAAGGGAAGAACATTTTTGTCAGAAGAAAGCATGTGCAAAGGTCCTGAATGGGCTTGGTGGTAGCAGATATGGAATGAGAAATGGGGGAGAAAAACATAAAAATTTTAAATGTTAATGAAAGTGCAACTTAAAGAAAGAAACGGGAGGCCCTCAGGTATGAGCCAGAACTGAGAAACGGCCTCAAGGTTCCTAGGTGGCCTCAAGGCAGCCGTGAACACAGAAAGATCTTGGAAACCCGAGGGTTGGCCCCAGGCCAGGGGACAGCATGAACCAGGCCTAGGGGATGTTTACGCAGGCCAAGGGATTGCCCCACTCCAGCTCAATGGATCAAAGAGTCACATAGTCCCATCTGAGGAAGGGCCTCCAAGGGACCAGCAACTTCTGAGGTGCTTCAGAGACACCCCACCCCTGTCCCCACACCTGTGACTGCATTCTGTGAGCCTGTTTACACACACCTTCTCCGCCTCCTTAGCTTGAATAAGGCATGACCGGCTCCTACTTCACTGAATCCCCATCACCAAGCACACTGCTCACCATATGGTAGGTGCCAATCAATATCTGTTGAGTGCACTGGGGGCCTCCAATTTCAGGGACTCCCCCAAAGTTTTCAGGCAGACAATGCTGCCCGGGGCACTTCATTGCAAGCACAAGCCAGGGCTGGCTCTCTGTGGCCCCATCCATCTCCACCAGGATCCTGCTGAGACCGGGGTGAGGAAGCCAGCCACGGAGAAGTAGGGTGGAGCAGCTATGAAGCCACCCTCCGGAGACAGGGCCAGGTGCCTGGGGGCTCTCGTAAGATGGAGGTTCAGACTACCTCTGGAACAGAGGTCATGGAGTTGCTTTTGTTTGTCTGTTTATTTGTCTGCATTGGGTCTCTGTTGCTGCGCGCGGGCTTTCTCTAGTTGCGGCGAGTGGGGGCTACTCTTCGTTGCAGTGTGTGGGCTTCTCATTGCAGTGGCTTCTCTTGTTGCGGAGCATGGGCTCTAGGCACGCGAGCTTCAGTAGTTGTGGCTCACGGGCTCAGTAGTTGTGGCTCAGGGCTCTAGAGCACAGGCTCAGTAGTTGTGGTGCACGGGCTTAGTTGCTCTGCGGCATGTGGGATCTTCCCGGACCAGGGCTCGAACCCATGTCCCCTGCATTGCAGGCAGATTCTTAACCACTGCACCACCAGGGAAGTCCCGAGGCCATGGAGTTTTAACAGCCGGTATGGAGGACACAAACTTTACAGTGACCAAGCAGACCATAAGTTAGGGACCTACTCAGTTCAGAGCTTAACAGTAAAACTTTTTATTATAGCCCCTTTATAAAATTTTTTAAATAAGTAATCATCATTAAAGAAGAGAAAGAATAAAAGCAAGAAGCAGCATTAGTCTTATCACCCCAGGGTGCCCTCCTGACTCCTCACCAGGCTGGGTCATCCACTCCACAGGAGCCCATGACCACTTCTGTCCTAATACTCATCCCTCTGTGCTGCAAATGGCCTGTTTCTGGGATTCCCTGAAGGCATGCTGTGTTCCCCTTTCATCCATGTAACCCTGCAAACCCAACACAGTGCCTAGATGTTCAATGTCTGTCACCTCAATCTATACTAAACAAATCCTGAGAACTAGAATATGGACCTCAGCACCCTTAGCTCAGCTGTATGGGTATTTACTGGAAAGTCAGTTCTCTGGAACGTGGAAGCCATTGCTGCTGGGTTCTTAGGCTAGCCCTCAGAAGCCTGAGTACCCCATAATTAGAGGGCCACAATAAAAGGACCAAATTTAATCCCCTTTTGTCATTTTTGTTTTTCCTACAGGCAAATGGACCCACCTGCAGTCCACCAGGGAAACCTAGAGAACTTTTGCCATAGCTCCATGGACAAGAGACCCAGGGGTACAGCAGGCCTGCCCAGCTGGCTCTGAAAAAGCCACGGTGCATAATAGCTGGATGGTTACAAGAACAGATGACCATGAGAAGCAGTGTATGGGTGCCACAGGCCTCTGGGCTTGGAATGGGGGGACGTTGGGAGAGGAGCCTCCACGGATCAGTCAAAGAGCGGATGGTGGAGGACGTGGAGGTAGTCCCATCAAAGGCGGCCAAACCCGGGGAGGGGCTGGGGCAGGTGAGGGGCCCGCCAACCTCCACCCTCAGCTGGCGTGTGAGGGCGGGGCCCAAGCTCGGCTCGCAGGGGTAAGAGGGAAGGCAGTTAACCCTGGGGATACACACATTCAAAAGTCGTGACTTCACACTTTTAGAGCCCACTAAAGGACTCTAATCCCCAGGGAAGATTCAGGGGCCGCCAAAGTTGGCCCAAAGGCCAAGCCCCATGGAAGGAAATTCAGCATTCACCTGCTGAGGTCACGTGGGTCCTTCAGCAGTGGCAGAAAGGATGGGCGCTCTTCTAGAGGCCACTGGGATACTCTACTGTTTCATTCAACCAACGGACACGGAAGGAGCACTACAACAGATTAGACAGGGATGAGCCGGGGCTCCATCACACGGCCAACAGTTGGCAGGGGCTAGTCACCAACACCTGGCCAGGCTGAGCAGGATGGCGAGAGCTAGCTCCTTCCCACAGCTGACCTGTGCTAAGGAGTTGGCCTTGCTGATTCTCGAGTCCCACCGAACGAGGCCAAGGAAGGCCCGAAATCTAGTGCTGCCCAGTGTGGGCCCCAAGCAGCCCCTCATGGATCTCAGTGGGGGCTGCAGTAAGGGGCCTAGGGCACCACTGGAATGCAGGATGACACAGCTTAAGAAGCATCTTTCTGCAAATCTCCTGAGCTGTTTTGCAGATGTGAACCACGCCCCCCCCCCCACACACACACAAATGGAAGAACTACTAGAGGACATAGCCCAGGCCTCTTGGAGCCTAAGGACTGATAGCCCCTGTGACACCACCCTGCTGCCTCGCCATCAGCCAATCAGAGAGCTGTGTACAAGCTGATCACATATCATTCGACACCCCCCCGCCCCCCCCCAGTGTCGGGCTGGCAACACAGTGATGAGCAAGACAGACAGGTCCCCCAGGGCTTCCTGAGAAAGAACTGCGGGTCCACAGTGTAGCATCTTAAAAAGAGAAAGTTACATATGATGACACACTCTTATCTAGACAACATTTTTTTTAAATATCATAGAACAAAGATGGGAAGGAAGTATTTCCCAAGTTGGGTCAGGCCCTCCCATTTAACATGATGGCTTGGCTTCCTTTACTTTTTCTCTGTGACACTTACCATAATTACTCAGTATGTATCCACAGTGTGACCATCTCTCCCACTAGAATTTCAGCTCCATGAGGGTAAAGATCATGATGCCTATTCATGGTTTTGGCTGAATCCCCACATCAAACATAGTGCCTTGCATACAGCAGCATTTAATAGCTACTGTGAAATGAATGGATGACAGTGAATGCCTCTGGTGAGCTTTATGAGATTTTTATTTTCTTCTTTGGAAACAGCTCTACTCTCTTTTTTTATAACGAAGTTTATGACTTCTAAAATCCAAAGTAAAAAAATTCTGGGAAAAAGATATTAATCACAAAACCAATCATAAAAACAAGAAGGGACTTGAAAAAAAATCAGGCTTCTGAGGGCAGAGAGTTGGACTGGGTATGGGGAAAAGCCAGCTCCAAGCTTGTAGAGAAACCCGAGTTAACTGATTTCTCCATTGGTTCAAATCCTCAGCCGCCTGACACACCTAAGATCGTATCACATGGCAAGAGAAGCAGGAACACAAGTAGGAGAAGAGGACAACGTAGGAAAAGAAGAGGGCCCAAGGCAGATGGGTGGCACAAAGGCACCCAGCTCGCTGTGTCCCACGGTGTAAGTAAGATGCCTGCCAAGTTCACCAATCTGGGAACCAGAAAGACCTGCAGCACAGGGCCTGCCCTCCCTCCAGGCAGCAGACTATGGTTTCTCTCTCTTCTCTTGCTCCTGTTCCCTGGCTGCTCCTGTAGGCTTCTGAGGTTGTGGCCCCTATTACAAAAGTTCTCGGTCCTTTCTCTTTAGGAAATGCCTTTGAAGGTGACATACATGTGTGTGTATACACGTTCCCTTATCCTATGGGAGTGAGCACCCATCTCACAAACGAGGAGGAATATGATTTCTGCCCTGGAGAAGCCCTCCTGGTCCCCATGGAAACAAGAGAAACAGAGGTGAGACCAGTGACAACAGGGGCTGAGAGTTCAGAGAAAGGATTACACCCTGGGCTGGTGCAGTCCCAGGAGGCTGCCTGGAGGAAGCAGCTTGGGGCGGTCCCCCTCTGCTCATTCATATACCAAGCATGGTCTGGGGCTTGGTGCACTTAGCAGGCCTGTACCTGACTCCCTCTAAACTTAACTGAAGTCTACCATATTTGGGGCCTTGTCAGCATTGCTCAGTTCAAGCCTCATGGAGAAGGACCACCCTCGGGATCGATGCACTTACAATGCCACGGGTTTGGGCCACCTTGTTGCACAAGTCAGGACGCCACTTTTGAAGAGCCAGATAGAAGGGATTTTTCAGGAGGTCCTCATCATACAGAGCCATATGGACTTCAGATGGGGCAAAAAGAGTCTCCTGGGACGAGAGAGGAAAAAGCAGTAAATGACCACTTTCAGAATGACCTAACACATAAAAGTCCTGATCTAACAATTTCTAAAAAGCATCCCTGACACATATTACTCTACACTACAGACCTAACACGGCATCGGGAAAGATCAAAGATAACCCACCAATTCCAAGATGACTTTTTTTACAGGTTAAATGTATAAATTATGCTCAGAAAATCTTCTTGACTCCAAGTCACTGCAAAAGTAAAAAATGGCTGTTTTTAGAACATCATACATGACCCAAATTATAACATCTTAAAGATATGCATGTTTTTAATGAAATATTTTTACCATAGAGTAATAATGCTAATCTACCACCCAGAATTACCGAATCTTAACCACTTTGCCGTATTTGCCTCAGATTTTCTTTTCAGAAATAAAGTATATCAGAGTAGACTGGATCCCCCATGTGCCCCTCCCCATCCCATTCTCTCCTCCCCTTTCAGAGGCAACCACTATCCTGAAGTGGTTTCTGTATCCTTCTTGCTCATGTTTGTACTCCTTTTTAAACTCATGTATTCATAAATAATATAAAATCTTGTTTTTTAAAATATTTATTTTTTGGCTGTGTTGGGTCTTTGTTGCTGTGCACAGGCTTTCTCTAGTTGTGGCGGGCGGGGCCTACTCTTTGTTGTGGTGCACGGGCTTCGCATTGTGGTGGCTTCTCTAGTTGCTGAGCACGGGCTCTAAGTGTGTGGGCTTCAGTAGTTGTGGCACGCAGGCTCAGTAGTTGTGGCTTGCGGGCTCTAGAGCGCAGGCTAATTAGTTGTGGCGCACGGGCTTAGTTGCTCCACGGCATGTGGGATCTTCCCGGACCAGGGCTTGAACCCATGTCCCCTGCATTGGCAGGCAGATTCTTAACCACTGCGCCACCAGAGAAGTCCTAAAGTCTTGTTTTATGCGCTCCAAAATCTACATAAATGGTATCACACTACAAGTAGTTTGGAACATATGCTTTTCAATCACCACTATGTTTTCAAGTTCTAGCCGTGCTGATCCATACAGCTCCCATTCATTCACTAATTTCTGCTGTACAGTATTAAGTGAACATGACACAATTTATTTATCTAACATCCTATACTTAAGTTGCTTCCACATTTTCAGAATTAAAAACAATGCTAAAATGAACGTTCTTATACCCTTATGTGTTCCTGGAGCACATATCCAGGAATGTTGCTAGCAGAGACACTGCGTCATGCATCCACCTGCACCTTCCCCAGATGCTGACAACGCTGGACCACTTCCAACCTCCATGCAAAGTCCATGAGCATTTCCCTTCTTCATGTCACATCCTAGCCAACGCTTCTTAGTAACGTCAGGCTAGTTCATTTCTGCCAGTGAGTATACAATAGTATTTCACTGTTTCTAATTTTCATTTCTCTAATGAAGTGGAACATCATTTCCTTACATTCTATAAATTACCTTATCATGTCTTTTGACCACTCTTCTAATGGGTTCTTGGCCTTTTTCTTATGATTGGTAGTTCTTTACAGATCTGGACACCAAAAGATGTTGCAAATATCTTCTCCCAATCTGTGACTTGTTTCTTCATTTTTCCTACTGGGTGTTTTCAGAAATAAAAGTGCTTGATTTTTTTTTTAACATCTTTATTGGAGTATAATTGCTCTACATTGTTGTGTTAGTTTCTGCTGTATAACAAAGTGAATCAGCTATACATATACATATATCCCCATATCCCCTCCCTCTTGCGTCTCCCTCCCACCCTCCCTATCCCACCCCTCTAGGTGGTCACAAAGCACCGAGCTGATCTCCCTGTGCTATGCGGCTGCTTTCCACTAGCTATCTATTTTACATTTGGTAGTGTATGTATGTCAATGCCACTCTCTCAAAAAGTACTTGATTTTAACGTGACTGAACTTGTCCGTCTTTGCCTTTACTGGTCGGTGCTTTTGGGATCTAAGGAAAGCCTATCTATCATCTCGGCATGCCCCTTGGTAAACTGACTTCACTATTCCCCCTCTGAGAAGGTGGAGCCTATTTCCCCGCCCCTTGAATTTAAGCCATCCCTGTGATTTGCTTTAACTAACCAACAGACAGAATTGATGCTCTGTGATTTCTGAGTATCAACCTCAAGAGGCCTTGCAAACTTCACTCTCATTCGTTCGGCAACCTGAGACCACCATGCAATGGAGAAGCCCATGGGATGAAAACCCATGTGGGGAGAGAGAGGCCCAGGTAGTCCAGTGAGGACAGCCAACCCACCAGCTGAATGCAACCACATGAGTGAGCCCAGGTGAGACTAGCAGAACCACCTTGCCAGCCCACAGATTAATAGGACATAATAAATTGTAGCAGTTTTAAGTCACTAATTTGGGGGCTGGTTGGTTATGCAGCAAAGGCTACCTGAAACCACATCCTTTCCAACTCCAAGGCTACAAAAATAGTCCCTGTAATTTCTAAGAATCTTAAAGGTTTTCATTTTTAGGTCTTCAAGTCATCTTTATTTTTATATATGCTATAAATTGGGCATCTAATTTAATTTTTTTCTGAAGGTAAGGTATCTCAGTCTGCTTAGGCTCTGATAACTAAATACAATAGACTGGGGGGTTCAAACAACAAACATTTATTCCTCACAGTTCTGGAAGCTGGGAAGTCCAAAATCAAGGTGCTAGTAGATTTGGTTCTTGGTAAGGGCCCACTTCCTGTACCATAGATGGCCACCTTCTCACTGTATCCTCATGGCAGAGAAAGAGTTCTCCTGTCTCTTCCTCTTTTTGTAAGGCGACTAATTCCATCATTAGGGCCCCATCTTCATGACCTAATCTAACCCCAGTTAGAACCTAAAGCCCCATCTCCAAATACCATCACATTAAGGATTAGGGCTTCAACATATGAATTTGGGTTGGGGCTGGGGGGACACATTCAGTTCAGAGCATAAGCCAACTGTCCCATTGTCTTCTTTTATATATTTTATCCCTTTCACACTAGCTGATAATGCTGCCTTTGTCATACTCCAAGTTCCCATATATGTTTGGCCTATTTCTGGGCTCTATTCTGTTTCAATGGTCTTGACCAGCGCCATCCAACAAATTTAGGTGAGAAAGGTAATTACATATACATTATGCATAATTACATGTCATTTAAAATTTTCTAGTAGCCATATTTTAAAAAGGTGAAATTAAATTATATATTTTATTTACCCTAATACAGCCAAAATACATTTCCAACATGTGATCAATACTTCAAAATTACTGACATATTTTACATTCTTTTTACTTCTACTAACTCTTCAAAATTTGATGTGTATTTTACTCAATTCATACTAGCCTCATTTCAAGTGCTTAATAGCCTCATGTGGCTAGTAGCTATTACATTGGATGGGGAAGGGCTAGACCACATTCATTTTCATGACTACAGCTTCATAATAAGCCTTGACATCTCACAGAGGAAGGCCTCTCCCCTTGTTCTCCAAAATGACTTGGTTATTCCTAATTCTTTATGATATCACATGAACTAGAGTCAGTTTATCAATTCCATGAAAATTCCTATTGGGATTTTTATTGGAACTGCACTAAATTTATGGACTGGAGAGCCAACGTCTTTATAATAACGAATCTTATCATCCATGAACATGGTATGTCTTTCCACCTTCATCCTCTTTTATGTCCTCCAATTAAATTTTCTTCATTAAAGATCATATAAAACTTTTATTAGACATTATTTATATATTCTGTATAGATTTGCTCCTGTTGTGAATGGGGCCTCCAATGCCCCTGGTCTGCTCCCCTTACCATACATCAGTGTGGTTTTACTGAACTGTGAGAGAGGAATATGAAAAATGGGCACAGAAAAGAAGTCAGAGTTTTAGCCATGTCATTTCACCTCTCCGAGCCTCCATCTTAGTCTGTACAATGGAGAATATGAATACCTGTCTTGCAGGATTCCCATTTACATGCTACCTTCACTATTTTTGCTACACTGCACACCAATGTACTGCCACTTTCTGCTAGCCCACATGGTGCCTTTGTGAGAATTACAAAAAGGCACCCCATCTTCCCAGTAGGTACAGTCCTGTGCCACGGCACATGGCTTAGTAAGCAATTCATAGGCTATATATATCAGCCTAGTTTGCCAACACCTCTCCTCCCCCAGGCAGGACACCTGTGCAATAAATAACCTGTACATTTGTACACAATGGCCCTATTGTTAAAGTTTGACATTTTCCTTTAAACACCTACTCCCACTTAAAATTTATTTGTAAAAGAACTCTTATTACTACTTTAAATGAAAAATAGTATCACTTCCCATTAAGATCATCTTAAAATTAAAAATTATATATCCAATTGACATTATTTAAAATCTGGCTACATACCACTGCCTGCCAAAGGTTCTGAACTTGAGCCTGAGGCCTCTTCTCTTCATTAAAAGAAGAAAATTAGCAACTATTAAAGAGCATCAAGTAAACTTACCCTTGATACAATCAGATGAATGAAATATGAGTGAAAAACTGAATTACTTTCTCATTATGTAACAGTATTCCCAAACACCTCTTTGGGAAAACACCAGAACAGTATGCATAAGTGCATTATGAATTCTATTCCTTATAGCTAATGTTAAAAACAGCCACCATTTGAGAGCATCCTTGGTCAGGCACCGTGATGACATCTATACATCCTCATCCCATTTTAATGTTCACAATAACTATAGATAATTAACTATAACTAATGCTCACAATAACCATAGGTATCATTAGCTCCACGTCACAGATGAAGAAACTGAGGGTCAGCTGGCCAACTCCAGGTTAGACAGATGTCAGAATTTATTCTAACACCCATCCCTTTAACCACTACATTCATCATGTAAAATAATTATGCCTGGATTAGGGGTTATTTCATGAGCCACAGATGCACAGACTCCACACTTCATTTCTCCTAAAGGAAAAGTCCCCATGACAGCCACACAGGCTCAGCATCAAATTCCCTTGGTCTTGTCCAGCCTGAGCTGTCTTAGCTGCAGGCCATCCTGGGGACTGCCTAAAGAAGGCCCCTGAGCTCCCTGCAGATCCTCTTAGGGAGAAGAGCCTAGCATGAAAATGGCTACGTATAATCCCTTCACAGGCCCCAGCTCTGCAACCATTCAGGTATTTGAATTGTTGAATTCAATTATTACTGGAACCCAGATAATCCTTTTATGAATCTCTACCAGAACAACTGGATAATATAATTTTGCTAGGACAGAGTCACAAGAAAACAAAATTCTTCCTAGTTCCCGACACAGCTGGTTCTACATGGTGGAGCACAAAAGTAAAGATGCCTTACATAAAAACCACATGAGAAACAGGATGCGACAAGGTCAGACTAAAGCTGGGAAGGGACACTCCTCCTTGCTCCTCAGACAAGATGCTGGCAGAGCAGCAACACCCCTGCCCCCAAGATGGGCTTTGATGGAGGAACTAACCACCTAACTGGGAAGCAAGAAGAGTTAAAAAAATAATAATAATAAAACAAAACAAAAACAGAACGGTGCCAGGAGAAGTAAGGACGAGATAGAGAAGGGAGCAACAGGGAAGGGTTTGGGGTGGGGAGTGTGGGAGGCATCCTTGGCAGGGACCAGAGCAGGGCCAAAGGGTCAGGAGGTGGGAACACGTTCCTGGTGAGCAAAGAAAACTCAAGAATAAACTTTTTTTGACTAGATGTGAAAATGAGCTCTGAGAAATAATAAGAATCCAAACAGAGCAGGTCAGAGAGGGGCAGCATGGGAAGGGAAGGGCCCTGAATGCCACATTAAAACATTCAGTTCAAATGCATGAATGGTGTAAACACACAAGACTCTCAGCAAGCATTGCTCGTGAATGAGATGGAGCTGGCTGGTTTTCAATCCAAGTCATCTGCTCTCTCTTGGGCATCAGTCTCCTGGATGCCAATGACTGGATCCTCTGTCCAGGAGTAGGGATTCAGAGACCTCTGTCCAGCACTGTTCTCGACCTTTCTGTCCCAGTGTTAAAAATATGTAATAATGCTTAATGCCAGAGTTGAATTCTTATATAGGGGTACGTGCTTTAAAATAATCTGACAAGTTTACTTGCAAGAATTGGTTTCATATTTTAAAATATTGAATAACATGTAAAGTAAACTGACTTTTCCTTGTAAAACTGGAAAGACATGTGAATCCTCATATATAAAACTCCTTAAAAAAAAAAAATTCCACCCCTTCCTAAGTGCAAATGATGGGATGATTTATAGAAAATCCAGTGAAGTCAGTCAGAGATACCAAATAACCCTGCATGTGAGTTATCTGAGGTTACTCTGAACAAGACAGCCAAGTGAGGCCTCAGACCGGTTCTGGGCATTTTAGGAGGCGGTGTGCACTCGTGGTTTTGTGGTCTTCAACCGTCCTGCCAGCCCGGATGAGTCTGGCTTGTCAGGGACCATCTGGTGACAGCGTGCAGGCTGGCTCAGCAGAATCCAGCCCAGGAAAGTCTGCACCTCCCAGAGATGCACTCCCTGCTGAAATCTCACTGCTGTGGCTTCTCCTGCCCTGCCAGGGCTCTGACCAAAGACCCCGACCAGGCATATTCTCCAACTGGCTTAATTTGTGACTCAGAAGGAAAAGGCCAAAAGGGAAAACTTTTTATCCATCTATGTTTAATACCAAATGGAAGCAATTTTATGATGTAACGTGTGGCACTACCGTCACTTGTGTCCTTCTGGCCTGTAATGTCTATGGCTCCTGCCCATATGTCTCTCAAAGCTCTTCTTCAAAGCACTATGCAGCCTCGCTGCCTGGCTCACTGCAGGCATGCAGTAACTGCTGGCCCCACTTGAACAAAATGATAGTGACGTGTTAGAAAAAGATCAAGCTCCCAGGAAGGGATCATCTGTCACAGAAGCTGGAAATCCACCGCCCAGACGCAGGGGAGGGTGAGGGGCTGGCCCCAGGCGGTCCTGCAGGCACTGGCCAAAAGCCAGAAAAATGAACATGCTCAGAGCTGGCTAAACACAATGACTGCTGGAATGTGGAGGATCACGGTAGGAGAGAAGGCCTCAGGGCTGGAAGAGGGCTGTGACCACTCACGGAGCGGGGGAAGTTTGGAGGAGCATAACTGCCCCTTGGAATGCCATTCCATCACCCTGCTCCTAGAATTGCAGGGGAGCCACCAGCACCCACGTCCCTGCCAGTATTTTGGGCAGGAGGGCAGGAAGTCCAAGGACCACTGCTCAGTGTCTCTCGGGTGTGGAAGCAACCTCAGGACAAATCATGTCCAATTGTTGGGGTCTGAATCCTTTCTATATCTGGTACCTATCATCGCATGGTCACATTCCCCTGCTCCCCTAGGAAAGGAGGAAGTTACTGGACACCCACCTAATCCTGGCACTTCATAAACAGAGGGACAGCCCTGACAGAGACACTAACAGAGGCAGACATGCGAAGAGCAAAGCCCCAGCAGCCGCCCTCATGAGGGCAACACAGTCCAAGAGCCACAAGGAGGCACAATCAAGACCTTGACCCAAGGCTCTATGCAGACACTTACTGCTGCTCTCCCGGCAGGTGGGATTATTTCGGGTGACAAGCCAAGGTGAGGAGAACTCACCCAAGGTGTCCACCCAGCTTCAGCGGCCCAACTGCTTTCCTGCCACTAGGGCTCCTGAGAAGTACCTGTGTCTCCCCCCATCCTGCACTTCTCCCTCTGAGGCCGACAGGCCCTGCCTCTTGATTCACCACAGACCTGTCCACCTGAAAGACACAAAGTGATCTTTCCAACACTGAAGTCTGTGCAGGATTCTTCAATGACTTCCCCTCCACTCCCTACCAGATGAACTCTCAACTTCTCTGCATGGCATGGAGGGCCTCACTCCTGGCCTCCTGCCCACCTCTGCAGCTTCATCTCCCTCTGCTGTCCCCAGAGCTCCCCAAAGAGATGCGCTCTCCCTTCTTTTACCGATTTTGTCCTAAAAACTACTCTTCCTCTGTCAAGGCCCCATTTGGCCCATAGGTGGCTGGGACCCTCCACCTCAGAGAATGGCCAAGGGCCAGAGTACCACCCAACCCTGGCCACAAACCACCAGTGAAACAACCAATTAAAGGACAGACTGCTGAGTGAGAACGAGCCCTGAACCTAGCGCTCTGGACCCCGGGGGGCTGCCTCAACATCAGGCCCGGCAAGGCGGCCTGGAAATGTAAATATCCCGCTAATATCTGTCGCTCTTCTCTAGGGCTGGTGGAAGGGTACATGACTTAATCAAAATAGGGGCCTCTCTCCCTAAAACCCACAGACTTGGAAAATTCCAGCTCGCATGGCAAACTAGTAGTCCCTACAGTCGCCCCTGCCCCTCATTCCCTGAATGTCCTAAATCCTCAATGAAGACGCGCCACTTGCTCCCGTGGCCCTGCACGGGCCGCGAGTGCCCACGTCCCCAGCACCTCCAGAGTCGGCCAGAGCGGCACGGCCTTCCTCTCGAGCCTACGGGCAGTCCATTTTCAACGAAAAGAAGTGAACAGACCCAGAGTCCGGAACACCTCTTGGTGCTTCCTAGTTTTCCTGGAGAAATCTTTACCCAGCAGGAAGACGAGACCCCGCCCCATGAGAGGCAGGCTAGCAGGGATTCCCTCCTCTCTCCCCCGCGCTTTTATTACCGCGGGGACCACGACAGCTCGACCCGATGCTCCGGACCCCCACCCCCACCCTCCCCTCCACCCGCCCCGCCAGGCCTCCCTTAAACCGTGGAGGCCACCCAGCCCGTGAACGACAGTGCTGCCCCAAGTCTGAGCTCCCGGGATCCCGGACCTGCTGACCTGTCCTGGAGCCGCGGGAGTCAGAGGGCACATGCTTCGCCAACCCCACCCCTAGCCTCGCAAACACACCAGAGGAGCAGAGCGAGCCCGGCTGAGGACAGGAGCCGGAGAGCCCGGGCGGGGCAGTCCACCCGGCGATGGGCCGGGGCCCTGGAGGCCGCCCGGAGACCGCCAGCCCAGCTTGGGGCGCCGGCTGAGGAAAGGAAAGAGCCCCTCCCCCTTCCAGCTCCGGGGCCCCGCCCGGCCTCTGGGCCCCGAGGCGCAGCAGTCCCGAGGGAAGGAGGGCGCGGGAGGAGACAGGAGGGAGGACACTTACTTAAAAGGCTACATAGTTTCACTCCCCGCTCTTCCCAGAGCGGCGCCGACCCCCTCCCGGCCCCTCGGTTCAGACCTCAGGCCCACCACCCCAACGCCGCAGATCTGCTCCACCGCCCACCCCCGTCGGGCGGAGCCGCGCCTCAAGATCTCTGGTCAGCCCAATGAGAGGTCGTCTTTATTCAGAGTGACGCGTGCGCAGAGCAATCATTGAGTCCGCCCAGCCGGGGGTGGGGCTCAGGAGGCACACAGCACTTCCTACTCAGGCTGGACCAGCCCAGAGCCACCGACTGCGCGTGCCCGGAACGGGAGGGGGCGGGGCCGAGAGCAGATCTGATCCAAGGGGTGGGGTCCAAGCTCTGTTGCTGGAAAGCGGGCTGGTCTAAGAAGGGGAGATTTTGGGAGCCGTCCCGCCCCGCAGATCGCCCTTTACTGCTCGTTTTGGGAGACGGAGGTGCCCAATCCTACGAGGCATAACCACTCCCGTCGCTGGCAGGGTCTAAGAGTCAGGGTACCAGGGTTCTAGCCCCTTCACTTGCATGGACGTGGCGTGATCCTAGCCCCCCCTTTTTTTATCGAGCCTCAGTTTCCCCTTCCGTAAAACAGAGGATTGGATCTGACGAGCGCTAATATTCCAGACCGTAATGGGGTGCGGAGGGGGAGATGGGGGACCTACACGTGACCTCCCGCGTGGGGCCCCGCCTATCCCTGGTCCAGGGGATGAAAGCGCCCAGCGAGGACGGGAGGGGGTGGGCGGATCCTAAGAAACCCTACCCGGCCGCCCTTGGCAGCAGCTAAGGCTGAGGGCGCGGCTCCGCGGCCGGCTAGCCCTGGCGACTGCACCGGAGGAGGATGGCGACCGCAACCCGGGCTTCGCGGGTGGCTACCGTGGAGGCGAGGACTGCGCAGAGATTCGGCGTGTGACTAGGAGCGCACCTGGGGAGGATGGACGAGGGGACGGGAAACAGCTAACGGCTCTCTCTCCGCGCCGAGTCCGCGGAAGCGCACGTCGTGGATCCTGAGCGGCTCTGTAGACAGCAGCGGCAGTGGCTAGCTCCTCTCAGGCCATGAGGAGTGCTCGGGCCGCCTGGCCAGGGGACGCCGTCGGGGCTGGCTGTGTCCTGCTGCGCTGAGGGCGTGAGGCTGAGAGGGGCGCAGGCGGCCGGGCTGCGCCGGAGAGCAGCGCCATGGCGAAGGAGGAGTGCAAGGCACTACTGGACGCGCTCAATAAGGCGACTGCATGCTACCACCACCTGGTACTGACCATCGGCGGCTCCGCGGACTCGCAGAACCTGCGAGAGGAGCTGCAGAAGACGCGCCAGAAGGCGCAAGAGCTGGCGGTGGCCATCCGCGGCCGACTGACACCTCCGCTGCGCGACCGGGGCCTGGGCGCTGAGGAACGTGCCGAGTTCGAGCGCCTCTGGGTGGCCTTCTCTGGCTGCCTGGACTTGCTGGAAGCGGACATGCGGCGTGCGCTGACCTTGGGCACCGAGTTCCCGCTGAATAAGCCGCTGCGGCCGCTCGTGCGTACCGGGGTGGAAGGCGGCGCAGCGAACGTAGCGGCGCGCGCCCTGAGCGCCCGCAGCCTGCGGCACGAGGCGGAGCGCGGCTTCGACGTGGAAGACCTTCACCAGCTGGAGCGGGAGATCCTTCAGGTGGGCGAGATGATCCACGATATGGAGATGAAGGTCAACGTGCCCCGCTGGACGGTGCAGGCCCGGCAGGCGGCAGGCGCCGAGCTCCTGGCCAGGCCCAGCGCCGGCGTCTCCTCGATGCGCTGTGTGTCCGTAGAGCAGCGCGTGGGGCCCTGCGACCTGAGCAAGGCCCTGGCCGCCACCATCTTCAGCGCCGTGCTGCTGGCGGCTGTGGCCTTGGCCGTGTGTGTGGCGAAGCTGAGTTGACCCATACGCGAACGACCTCCTCGCTACCCGGAGACACCCCTCGGAGAACATCTGCAACCGCCAGGACTAGGGATGAGAGTGGGATCTGGCATGTTTAAGGGGAGCGGTTCTAAAACCCTGCGTGTGTACGTGTATGTTTATACGCGCGTTTCAAGCACACATCTGCCTGGGCAGAACATGGCTTCCTCTTGATGGCCCCGGGAGGAGTTAATTTTGCGCGGGCCACCGGGTCATTACCGCTAATGTATGCAGGAGCTTTATCCCCTATTAATAGTTCGTAGTGAGCGGAGATTCCTCCGAGTTAATACCGCCTGTGCTGCCGGGGCGTGTTTACACTGAGTCTGAGCTTGGTGTCCCCACCCCTGCCGGTGATTCCCATTCTCCGAGTGGGGCAGTTTGGAAAGAGGGTGAGGTGAAATGAAGTGTGTTTTGGCCTGTGTGTGTGTGTTGGGTTTGTTTTCTAGACGAGAAAACAAACTGCAATAAGAGGTAAGCAGTTTTTATTACCTTAATCCTTTGGGGCCTAAGCTTAGGAGAGTGTGCAAATAGAAGTTCATGCAACGTGCTTTCTTTTAGCACATGATTACACACTTCTGCACACCCTTGCCTATTGAAAAGGGCTCTGCCCAGTCAGTCTGGAAGGGGTGCAAGCTTTGGGAAGGGCCACCGGCTATCTAAACAGGCACCTTCTCCTTAGCTGGGGCTTATTTTTGTTCCAGAACTAGACTAGAGTTTTTATCCTCCTTTGGGGGAGGGCTGGGGAATCCTCTTTGGAGCCCTTAATCCTATCTATCCCTTGGAATTTGCTTGCTGGCCAGTAGGAGAGCTGGCTTTGGAGGGAGCTGCACAGCTCCCTGACCTGGACACTGCCCCCTGAGAGGGTCAAGTGGGGCATCACTGGGCACAGAGGTCTTGAGCCAATTAGCCCTGAGACTGGGTTAGAACGTAACAGCTTTAACTTCAAATTTAAGGAGATTTAAAAAAAAAATCATTTGTTAGAAAAATCCTGTAGCCACATTGTGTACTGTCAAAGCTGTTTTTTTTTTATAAAGGACATTTGGCCACGAATTCATACGGGTGCCAATGAGTCATACACAGTGTCTTTACTTATATACTTAGATTGCTAAACATACATCTCCACCTATTTTTAAAATCTATCTTCTTAAGGCAGGAGATCATAGCATAAACTACTGGAACCACAGATGTAGATGACAGAAGTTAGGTGGCCCTAGCCTCTTTGTGGCAGTAAATAAGGAAATGTGGTAAACACCTTAGGTCCCAGGCTAGAATTTGCCTGAGCACTGAGCTCCCACGTGTGGATCAGAGAGAGCCTTGTTGGGGAAGTAAGGCTGAGAAAACAGATGCGTTTAACTCTGAAGGTAGTTTGGAATAAAACCCAGAGATTGGTTTGGCTGAAAAGTGACACGGATTTTTTTTTTCTCTCTCTTTTTCACCCCAGAAGTGAGAAAGGGGACTAGGAGGAGGGAATCGGCAAGTTTTCACAAGGGCAGTTTGGAGGGTCAAGGGTCAGAAGCAAATAGCAGCAGTAGTGCTGTCTGGGCACCCAGTCCGACGGGCCACCCTCTCCCAGCCTTGATCACCCACTCCCACTCCCACTCCTCCTGAGCACACAGATTCCAGTACTGTAGATAGTGAAAGCAGAGGATCTGTTTGTGTGTTTCTGTGATAATGGTTTTAAAAGACCCAGAAGTCTTAAGCCGATTAAGAGTTCTATAACAATAACTAATAAAAGGAACTCCTTCTGCTTCATCCGATCTGGGTGACTGAATTGGGCCATGTCAAATTCTTTTTACACCTGCCTTCCCAGGGTACCTTCAGAAATGACACAGAAAGTTTCCTAACTCCCCTCTTCCTCATCCCACATGCAACACAACACAGAATCTCTGTCACCTTCCCCAAAGTCTCATTTCTTTCAGGTAAGGGGAGGCTGGGGGGACTTCCCTGGTGGCTCAGTGGATAAGAATCCACCTGCATTGCAGGGGACACGGGTTTGATCCCTGGTGCAGGAAGATCCCATGTGCTGTGGAGCAACTAAGCCCGTGCGCCATAACTAGTGAGCCTGTGCTCTAGAGCCTGTGGAGCACAACTACTGAGCCCGAGTGCTGCAACTACTGAAGCCCTCGCGCCTAAAGCCTGTGCTCCGCAACAAGAGTAGCCACCACAATGAGAAGCCCGCGCACCACAACGAAGACCCAATGCAACCAAAAATAAATAAAATTAAATCTTTAAAAAAAAAAAAAGAGGCTGGGGCATATTGTGACCCAGTGTTGGAAAATATCCCTAAATATATTCTGTTGTCTCTAAAACTGTGATTCTTTGTCCTTATCAACGAGTTTTGGGTCATGATTCATCAGAATGTATTAAAGAAACAACCCATCAGAAGTTGTGTAATCCATTGCTTCTCTGCCTTTTGGCTAAGATCAAGCATGGAAGTTGTGTAATCCATAGAGATCAATTGGGACAAGCAAAATTCTTGTTTTCGCTCTTTCCACCCACTTGGCACATCCTTGAGTATTTACTTATATGTGCAATCAGATGTGTACCTGATTCTGAGAATCCTCTGCTCACTGAACTTAGTGATAAAGTATTGCACACACACCAAAAAAGCTGAATTACAATAAACATATTTATCCTGTGGACATGTTAACCTATACAACTCTTTGAAAATGTTAAGCATTTGTAATATTTGGCATTATTTGGAGTTATAACATTGCCTAATAGGACTTTTGCTATATGATGTAAGCAAAATCACTTTCTGCTTGAGCAATAGGCTGCTCAATAACAGCAATATCTCCCTGCTGTCATTTCTATGTATAATTCAAGAGGTTGCTTTGTGGTAGAAGCCTGATTCAATGTAGATGTTGGATATCAAAGTCATTAATTTTCTAAAAATATTTGTTATGATATTATACCATGATACAAGTGATTAAAAAATTACAAATATTTAATATAGGGTATATATGATAATGGTCAGTGTTAGAGTCTACTTTCCTAAAGGTACAAGTTAAAGGATAGATATTTACCTCAAAAGTTAAGTGCTATTATAAATCTCTTGTAAAGTTAATACCTGTAAGAGAAAACATGCCTGGCTTCTCTTTTAGGAAAATAGCACAGCTTTATCTGATACTGAGAAGACAAGAACTTGGAATGCCAAGGCACTTATCACGGGAACTTTCAACTATTCCTATTAGAAAAAAACAGAAAACACGATAATGTTTGTAGAAGAAAAATATGCCTGGCAAATTCTTTTTTCCTGTTCTCTAAGAATGTATGCTTTTAAATGCCACAAGGGAAAATATTTTTGGTAAGTCAAATTAGAGCATAAACTTCACAATTTACCTAAGGTTTACAATAAGCTACATAAGAGATGTGTGCTGTCCAATGACTAAAAAGCCATTTGGGTTGAAGAGAGTTCTAGTTTGCATGAGGACCCTGATCATGCTGCATTTTCCTTTTCAATGTGCACATTGATACATTTTTAGCTACACAGTTACTTCTCAGAATGCAGTTCTCTGTTCTGTAATGAATGTTTGTGAAGGGTACAAGCCCCAAAGTGTGATCCTGCAAGGCAGGCTAAGAAACAAAAGTGCTTTAGCAGTGGCCTCTGCTTTCCTTTGGGGAATGCCTCCTCCTGCAACGTGGGACCAGCTGTGATGGGCAGGGCTCTGCCTTTCTCTCTGAGTACCCCAGACAAGTCACTGACCTCCCTGTGCCTCACTTCCCTCATCTTTGAAATGGGGGGGGGGCAACTGATTAACTCAAAGTTCCCTTCCAGGGCTTAAAACATTTAATAGAATGCAGTTAAACGAAAAAGGGTTATTTTGTTTGGGGGTTTGGTGGGGAGGGGGTTGTCATTGTTGGTTTTGGTGCATATGGAAATGGAATCTTAGTTTGTCTAAAATTAGTCTGTTGGTAAAATTCCATATGAATTTTAAAAATCAGAATGAAGTAAGCTTACTGCGATTTTAGTCCACATCAGAATTAGTGTCTGGACTTAAAAGCAAATTTGTATAAATGCTACTTACTTATAGTGTTTAAATTAGATTAGGAATTTAAATTCAGACTCTTAAGTCTGAGTCCAAGAAAGCCTAGTGTTTATTCAACAGTTTGTTTTACCCAGCAATCTAAACTGATTCTGGTAAATTACAGATGTGAAATCCCATCATTTGTCATGGAGTCTAAGAGAATCCTGTTCTGTAACTGACCTGGTGCCCTCAGAAGTATAATTGCATTGGCTGCCTGATTTGGGGAAATGAGCACAGCATGGGCTGTTTTGTATATGGCAACAGATCCTAGTTGGAATTAAATGCTCCGTGTCTACTGTTTGAATAACTTGTCTAACTAAATGGCTATTAATAATTAAAAATTAAAGATAACGTGCAGCATTTATAACTTAGTTGAAAAAGGCACCCTCAAATGATTCAGCTATCAACTCCTTTTTTTTTTTTTTTTGGCGGTACGCGGGCCTCTCACTGTTGTGGCCTCTCCCGTTGCGGATCACAGGCTACAGACGTGCAGGCTCAGCGGCCGTGGCTCACGGTCCCAGCCGCTCGGAGGCATGTGGGATTTTTCCAGACCGAGGCACGAACCCGCGTCCCCTGCATCGGCAGGCGGACGCTCAACCACGGCGCCACCAGGGAAGCGCAACTCTTATGAGTTTTTAAGATATTCTTAATCTTCTTCATGCACATTTAAATTGAAGTGAATATCCTGATCAACATATTTACCCTTCACAGATTTCATTACATAAAGAGATGTTCAGAAAGACTCCAGGATTATATATCTCCAGGTGCTTTTCTACAATACAATTATACTCATCTTTTAATGCAGGATGGAATCCAGGAAGAATAGTAGGTCTCCACATAAACAATCTTTGGCTGTGGTCACTGTAGATCAAAGTCATGTTCAAATACTGTTTCTTTGGCTCTTAGGAACTGACCGAAGGTGCAGGAACTGACCACATGCTGCAGCTCTCTGTCCATGAGCACAAGATGGATTTCTGGAAAAGCATTCCTCTCTTTCATTTACTTATTTTCATCTCATTACACAGAGGATTGTGGGTGTTTTCATTGCAGTACTGTGAGATCTTGGGCATCCTGCTTCTTTGGTGTTTCAGTTTAGAATGTTATAAGCTTAAGGCTTATATGACAAACGTAAACAAGCCAAATGAGAACTCCTGTTGGCAAAATGATTTTCAAGAGTCCTTCTAACATGCTGTTGTCAGAAAGCAAATTTGAATGTCCTTTGTCTGTAGGTATGTGTTAGGCACATAGAGAAGATCTAAGAGGAAATATACAGAAATGAAAATGTAAAGGTGGTGGAATTATGAATGGTATTTTTTCAATATATTTTTATTTAATATTGTTATATTGTTTTTACAATAAAAGTTTGAATGCTCTTATCATCTAGAAATTATTAGTTATTAAAATATAAATTTTAACAGGGTCTCATTTATAATGAGAAACAATTTCAGAACACACATCCCCTCCCCCACCCCGCCAGGCGCCACAAACAGGCAAAGCAAAACTTTTGGCATCTTACCTGCAGGGAATCAGAAGCACGTTTCGAAATGCAGCATCAAGACAGAATAGCATCGAGGTTAGGAGCACTGACTATGGAATAGGGTACCCCTGAGTTCAGATCCATTCTTTTTTTTTTTTTTTTGTGTGTGTGTTTCGCGGGCCTCTCACTGTTGTGGCCTCTCCCGTTGCGGAGCACAGGCTCCGGACGCGCAGGCTCATAGGCCATGGCTCACGGGCCCAGCCGCTCCGCGGCATACGGGATCTTCCCGGACCGGGGCACGAACCCGTGTCCCCTGCATCGGCAGGCAGACTCTCAACCACTGCACCACCAGGGAAGCCCCGGATCCATTCTTATTGAAGATTTTCATTAATCTCCCTGACCTCAATTTCCTTATCCTTACAATGGGAGTAATAATAGGATATACTTCATAGGGATATTGAGAGAAGACTTTCTGCAGGCACAGGGCTCAATAAATGTTGGCTGCCTAAAATGGGACGGTTGGACAAAAGAAGCAATATATATGAAAACATTAACTTTCTATAACTTAGGTAAAATCGGCTGGAAATCATTTTGAAGATTAAAACTAGATAAACTTGTCAACGAAAGAAGGTATGTAATAAAAAGGTCAAGGTTACAGAGGGAAATTCAGGTTGATCTAGAAGTTGGAATCTGTACATTTTTAAAGTCAGACTTATTGAGGTATAATTTAAATACAGTAACATTCACCCTTCTTAGGTGTGCAGTTTTGAGTTTTGACAGATATGTACAACCATGTATCCACCGCTGCAATCTAGAATGTTTTCATCACCACCCAAGAGTTCCCCCATGTCCTCTGTAGGCGATCCTTTCCTCTCACCCCAGGATCTGGCAACCACTGATCTGATTTCTGTCCCTACGGTGTTGCCTTTTCCAGAATGTCACCTAAGTGGAATCTATGCATTTTTGAGAAAACATATTGTGCACCTTTTTTAAACCCTTTTCAAAAAACCTTTTGAGAAATCGTTTTTATGTGATGATTCTTGGTGCACTGGATGTTGCTGGTCATTCATAGGTGAATTCCATTTAACTGCAGTGACGTGCCTTCGTTTCTAGGCAGGCTGAACAAACTCTCCTGCTACAGTGGATTCTCCAAGCTGAAGTCATCTCTCCATGGCTAGCCCCCGCATTCTCTTCCTTTCTTTTTCCACTGGAAAACATGATAAATAATGGATAACAGAAATGAATCTGGGCTCAATGAAGTAGAGATTGAAATAAAAGTCCACTTGGAGCTATGGGTAAGAAACAATATGACGCTTCGAAAGTTGTTTTTTTTTCTTTCGGGATCATGCATGTTCTAATCAAATAAGAACATTTCTTATTGTAAAGATAGCTGGGGAAGACCAGACCAGTGGAACATAAGAACCAAGAGTCAAGTGTCCTTCTCTGAAGTAAGCAACTGTTGTCATAAACAAAATGACTCAACTCTTGTGATCAAGTGGCATATGGTAACTGCTAGCCCTAGTAGGGGATGGTTGTGTGCACTTACTGTCAGGCCTGGAGTAGCTGGCACTGTGCCCCTGGCAGAACAGGGCGGAGCAGGACACTTGGAGGACACGCCAACAGGTCTGGAGACAGATTCCAAACAACACTTGCTGCACGTGTGACCTTACATAAATCACAACCAACTGTCTTTCCATATCTCTTGCCCATTTTCTACACAATTGGAGGTTTTTTCTTCTCAGTCCTTTGTGATAGGCATTAGAGATATTTTCTCAGTTTATTATATCTTGGACTTTCTTATGGTGTCTTCTGTCATAATAAAGTTATAAATATGCACAGTGTGTCAAATTGATCAATCTTTTCCCTTATGCTTCTAGATTTTGAGTCAAAGACTATAGAGGAATTTACCTGTTTTCTCCTAATGCTTCGATGGTTTTTTTATCCACTGTGGTAGCCAGCCTCCAAGATGACCACCAATGATCCCTACTACCTGGTGTTTTCATGTAGTCCCCTCTCACATGGAATAGAGCTGACCAGTGTAAGAATAGGATACTGTGGAAGTGATGGAATGTGACACCTGAGGCTAAGTCAGCAAATGCATCATGACTTCTTCCTTCCACTCTCTTGGATCATTCACTACCACATCTCAAAGACATCCAAGCAGCACTATGGAGAGGCCAATATGGTGAGGAACTGAGGCCTCTGGCCGACGGCCATATGAGTGAGACATTGTAGAAATGGATCCCTCAGCCCCTAACCAAGCCCCAGCTGACATGCTCACCAGTCTCATGTGAAATACTGAGACAGAACAACCCAGCTAAGATGCTCTTGAAATCTTGATCCACAGAAACTGTGAGATAATAAATGTTCCTTGTTTGAAGCCACCGAGTTTTCAACCTCCCAAGCTAAAACTTTAATTCCTTCTTTTCCCTTGCTCTGCATATTCAACCAATTACCACATTACCTCAAGTCTACCTCCTAAATACTCTCTGGTGAATCATTCCCTTCCTCCCACCTCACCCCCTCTTCACAGCCACTCTCCTAGTTTAGACCCTCACCATTTCTTCCCCAGCACGTTCCACGGGCCTCCAGAACAGCCCCATCCAGTTGAGTCATCAGGCTGTTGTCAGGGTGACCTTTGAAGATATGAACTTAATCATGTCACCACCTTTTATGGCTTCCCATGGCTTAAAGCACTGAACTCACCTGGAGAAGTTGGGGGATTGTTAAAAACACAGGCTCCAGGGTGCCATCCTAGACTCCACAATAGATTGTGAAATGATTGTCTCAGAGCAGAGAGCCATGCAGTGGGAAAGCAGGTAAGGGAGGGGTCCCTAACTGTGGATTATGCAGAGACTCAAGATGGATGAAATTTGGCAGACTCCACCCCCCTCCCCCAACCTGCCAGTACATGTGTTCTCCCTTGGCCTCTGTGTGTTTTTCTAAACATGTGGTCTTGTTTCCTGTTTCTGGGATGCGGTCAGTACACAGGGATCTGCATCTTTAGAAAATGATGCCAACAAAAATCAACCTAAATACTACTGTTGCCCTCTCTGGATTCTCCCCCAGGGAATATCCCACATTAAAATGATAGTTTGAAAATGAGGCTCAACAATAGTCTATATGCACATCCGGACACATAACAAATGGGTGATCAACTATAATAGCAATTGTGGAGAAACCGTTAGTAACAAATAAGGAGCTATAAAAGAGAAGACTGCTTTAACAGGCTCTTTCTAAAGGTGGAGCAGAGCAAAATTTCCATCTCTAGGCTTGGATTAAAATTCTCCCATGAAAGTGGAAATTATCCAGTGACCTAAGGGGCTTAAGGTGGTCCCAGGTGCCCTGACAATAAAAGGTGTCCAGATCACAAGATGGGAGCTTGTCTGGGGATTCAAGGAGGACCTTTCACACTCAGACTGTGCAGTGTGAAATTTGTAATTTGGTATCTGGTTCATGCATCAGTTTTTCATTGCAAAGCTCGGACACCTAGCCCTTGGACGCCCCCCCATCCACCCCTACCCCACCCCCCCGCCAAAGGAAACAAACCCTCTTTGTTTAATCGAGAAAGTCCTAGTTCTCGGGTTTTGGTCGGATAGGTGTCACCAGACCTAGGTTTGCATCGCACTTTTACCTCGACAGGTCATTGTGCAATCATAAGCATTCCTGCTCTTGGTCCGTGTGTCCTGAGTGAGGGTGTTGAGGTCCTCCTAGCAAGCGGCTGTGACAGCCCTTGCCCCGCGAGAGTGACCTGGCTGGGAACAACGGCACTCGAGGCGGAGCTTCACCGCACTGGCACACGCCTACTTCTCCCCCTTACAGGCAGGCGCGGGTGAGGCCAAACAGCCCGGGTTCACCGATCGCCCAGCGCGCACCTTACCGGGAGTTCACCCAGCGAGACGCCGGCCTCCGTCCTCAGGCCCGGGGAAAACTCCAGCCTCACCAGAAGCTGAGCCCGGAAGCCGCGCGCCGCCACACGCCATGAGCGGCCCCCTGCGGCCGGGCCCAAGCAGTTGGCGGCGGGCGGCCACCGTGGTGCTGGCTGCGGGTTGGACGCTCCCGGTGGCCGCCGCCCCGCCGCGGCCCCCGCCGCCCGCCGAGGGCTTCCGGCTGCTGCTGCTGCTGCGCTCCGCGCGCCAAGGCTTCTTGCCCGGGGCGCACGTCTTCCCGGGTGGGGTGCTGGACGCGGCAGACCGCTCGGCCGACTGGCTGAGCCTCTTCGCGCCGCACCACCGGCCGCCCCGCTTCGGCCTGGGCCCGGCGCCGCCCAGACGCGCCACCTTCCCGGTGCTGCCTGATGCCAGGCCCGGAGCCGCCGACGGGGACGAGGCGGCGCTGCCGGATGACGTTGCCTTCCGCATCTGCGCCATCCGCGAGGCCTTCGAGGAGGCTGGCGTGCTGCTGCTGCGGCCCAGGGGCCCCGGGCCCGCCGCGTCCGAGCCGGGCCGCGCCCTCGCGCCGCCGCCGGCCCTGGCCGACTGGCGCGCCCGCGTCCGCCGAGACCCGCAGCACTTCCTGCGCCTGTGCGCTCACCTAGACTGCACTCCCGACATCTGGGCGCTGCACGACTGGAGCGCCTGGCTCACGCCTTTCACGCAGCGCCGTGGCCGCCGCTTCGAGACCACCTTCTTTCTGTGCTGCCTGTGCGAGCCGCCGCCGGTCTTCCCCGACTTGGTGGAGGTGGTGGACTGCCAGGTAGGCGTCCTCCCGGCGCGGAGTGGGGACCCACTGGAGCTTGGGAATGAGGACCCCACCCCCGGCCGGCGGCCCAGGCCCACCCGGAACCTCCAGATAGGCCGGGCCCAGGGAAACTAATTCGCTTGCTCAGGGACATACAGCCAGTACGCGACTGAGCGGGCATGGGACCCAGGTGGTCCGGCCCCCGGCCAGCAGGCCAAAGCCATGACCTTGGTGAACTGCTTTCTACTTTCCCCGGCTTCACAGCCCCAGGGCCTCGACGATGTCTCCCCACGCGGTTTCTCCAGCAGGAGGCCAGCGGAGACGCTAGGAGCTCTGCTAGCGCTGATCAGGTGCCAGGCTCCTTCCTAAGCACTTGCCGTGCATTAACTCATTTCAACCCCCAGCAGTTTGTTTCCTCATAGTTCAGTCTTTTAAAATTTATTTGAGACTGTTTCATTTGAGACTTGTTTTATGGCCACGAATATGGTCTACCTTGGTGAATAATCCCTCCGCACCTAAAAAGAATGTGTATTCTGCTGTATTTTATGGAGTGTTTGTAGAACTGTCAGTTAGCTTAAGTTCGTTGATAGTGTCCTCAGGTCTTTCATATCATTTACCTGTTCCATCAAGTACTGAGAAAGGAATGCTGAAATCTTCAAAGAATAATTGCGGATTTGTCTTTTTCTATTTTCAGTTTTTCAGTTCCATCAGGTTTTGCTTCGTGTATTCTGAAGCTCCCTTGTGAGGTGCTGCATAGGACTATTCAAGCTTGATGGATTGAGCCTTTGATTATGATGAAATATCCTTCTTTATCCCTGGCAATGTTCCTTATTCTGAAATCTGAAGTTTACCGTCTGATACTAATACAGCCGCTCAGACTTTCATTTGATTAGCAATAGCATAGTATATCTTTTTCCATTCTTTACTTTTAATCTGTGTCTTTATATTTAAAGTGTGTTTCCTGTAGGCAGCATATAGTCTTACTTTTTTATCCAATATGACAGTTTCTGCCTTTCAACTGAAGTGTTTAGATCATTTGTATTCAGTGTTATTCTCAATAAGGTTAACTTCAAATCTACCATCTTGCTGTTAGTTTTTTAGTCTGTCCCCTCTATTCTTTGAACTGTTTTTCTTCTTTTCCTGACTTCTTTTGGATTAACTGAGTATTTTTAGGACTGTGTTTTATCTCCATTATTGACTTATTAACTGTACTTTTTGTGATTGCTTTAGGGTTTGCAATATACATCTCTCATTTCATGTGTAGTTTTAGAACCTTAAAATAATATACTTCCATTTCTCCCCTCCTGTCATTTATGCTTTTGTTGTCATACATTTGACTTTTATTTCTATTATAAACTCTATAATACACTGATTATTTTTGCTTTAAATAGTCAATCTGTTAAAGACTGTGAAAATGAGGGGGAAATGTTTACCTGCACATGTACCATTCTTAGCACTCTTCATTACTTTGTGTGGATTTAATCTACATCTGGTATCTTTCTGCCTAAAGAACTACCTCTAATATGTCATGTATTTCAGATCTTCTAAATTTGTTTAGAATGAATGAATCTAAATTCATTCTAAACAGTGAATCTTCTAAATTTTGTCTGAAAATACGTTATTTTGCTTTTGGTTTTTGAAAGATATTTTGGCTGGGTATAGAATTCTATGTATGTTAACAGTTTGGGTTTTTTTTCTCTCTCTCTCTCAGTACTTAAAAATGTTGCTTCATTATTTTCTGGTTTGCATAATCTTCTGTTGAGAAGTCTTTTTTTTTCTTCCAGTTTTATTGAGATATAATTGACATACAGCACTGTGTAAGTTTAAGGTGACAGCACAATGATTTGACTTACATATCCCATGACATAATTACCACAGTAAATTTAGTGAACATCCATCATCTCATAGAAAAGTTTGCTTTTAACGCTCTGTTCCTCTGTATGTAATGTGTGTTTGTGTTTTTGGTGTATGTGGCTACTTTAAATATTTCCTCTTAATTATTGGTGTTCAGTAATTTGATTATGATGTGCGTGGTTTTCTTTTTGTTTTATTATTTAATTATTTGTTTCTTCAAATATTTTTCACCTCCCTCTGTTTTCTGGGATTCCATGTATGTTGGACTACTTGATAATGTTCCACAGGTCCCTGATGCCTTGTTCATTTTTTTCAATCTTTTTTCTTCTCTGCTTTATTTTGAATAGATTTATTGCTATATTTTCAAATTTTCTCCCTTTTCTTTCTTTTTTTAAAAAATAAATTTATTTATTTTATTTATTTATTTTTGGCTGTGTTGGGTCTTTGTTGCTGCATGCAGGCTTTCTCTAGTTGTGGCGAGCGGGGTCTACTCTTCGATGCGGTGCGCGGGCTTCTCATTGCAGTGGTTCTCAACATGGGATGATTTACCCATCCCACCCTCAGGTGCATTTAGCAACGTCAGGAGACATTCTTGGTTGTCACAACTCAGGGACTTCTACCGGCTTCTACTGGGTAGAGCCCAGGGATGCTGCCGAATATCCTTCCACAAAGAATTATCTGGCTTAAAGTGTCAGTACTGCCGAAGTTCAGAAACTGAGGGGCAACAGTGGAATTTAGAGCCAGCGTCACCCCACCCCACCACTGCCCTGTGAGTTTGAAGCCCAGGTTTTTTAGTTAGAGGATGCAGGGTTATCCTAAGGATTGGAAATACTTTATGTAAAGTATTTTTGCTCAAAATACTTTTACTGGTAACTAGTAAAACTAGTGTTTTACTAGTGACAAGTAACCAATAAACAATAAGTTATTTAAGTTATTTTAGCCTATGGTCTAGACCAACCTGAACAGGTTGAATTAAGTGAGTTAATGGCTGTTGTTTAACCCTTTATCTTCATTGTTACCACTGAACTCACAGGATACCTTAGAGATTGGGTGGTCCTTTGAGGCCAGAGCTTTGTTTTTCAAAATGTAACCTTGGCCAACTTCAGAAGAATCTAGGGTGCTTATTAAACATAGATTGCTGGGCCCCATAGATTGAAGATTTAACAAGTTTCTCAGGTTTCTCATACAAGCTTGTAAACTTTGGGCCTATAGGTATTCAAGGCAGTCAATCTCAACTCCCTGGTTTTGGGTGTGAGAATCAGTTTCCCCAGTGTAAGGAGATATTTAGTAAACCAGTTGAAGAAAGACCTTTTGGGGTTATTTCATATTATTGAATCAGCTCTTTTTATCTAAATGTGTATGGAAGGAAGGCTTGGGAAAGTGGGCAGGTCACAGCAGTGAGGCCACTTAAGTGAAATGGGTAAGTGCTATCTGGTTGATAACGTGCAGTTATTACACTCCTGGGCCGATAGACTGGGTCACATCTCTTGATCTTCCTGAAAGCTTCTCTTGCTCCGGCCTCTTTACCTTCATTGTAACACATGGCACACATCACGCTACATTTTGTTTGCTGAAGGCCCTATTAGGGCCTGAGAGATCTTTGTCTCATCCACCACCACATCCTCAGTGCCTAGCCAAGGCGCCCATTTATGGGAGGAATGAATGGGCACTAAATTCTCAATCTGCTGTCATGAGTTTATACTTCAGAGTCTTCCTTTAGGAGTGACCAGAACCACCTTGCCTTCTTAGCATCTCCTGCCTTTTATGCTGAACAAGGCTCCCAGGTCAACCCTTTGTGATCTATCCTGGTTTATTTACTAGTTCTCAGGATCAGTGTCCCAATAATCAACCTCTGAAGGGGATCAACCCAGCTTTCTTCACCAAGTCTTTTCATGTTGTCTCAGAGGAATCTAGCAAGACACATTAATGAATTACTTTTACATTTTCAGTTAGCTCTTAGGTACTGATCTAAGGATCTCGAGTCTTGCGTTGTCTATAGGATAAACTTCAGGAAGCCTTACCTTTGTCTTCCGCAGTGGTCATCTCCGTCAGAGGCAACTGAAAGCTTCATATCAAAGGAAATTTGGCTTGCACCTCCACAGTTCTACGAAATAAGAAGACTAGAACACTTTGCCTCTCTCTCTGACTTGCACAAATTTTGTTTG